CAAGATTCGCAAGTAAAAAAAAAAAAAAAATCGACTATACATGTAGCAAATTGGATGTATACGTAAAGACAGCAATAATAAATAAAAAAATTTCCATTAATAAACCATCTGATTAACTTGCTTGGACTGTTTCATCATCTCCTTCATATGCTTTCTTTTCACACTTGAACCATTAATTAGTTTCGACCAAAACCCGCTTTTCTTGGTCTTCTTCTTATTAATCCTTCTATCCATGCCATTATCCATACCTTCTCTTGCTACAAAAGCCATGGATTTACTCCTCATAAGACCATCATCATTACCTCTTATCAAAAAAGAAATAGGTCCTTTCATTGACATTGAACCAGCTCTATGGTGATGATGATGATGAATAGGTGAAGAGTATGAAGAAGTAGCTCCTGATGAATAAACAGAAGTAGACAAAGAAGAAGAACAAGATGAAGCTGTAGTAATTTTATTATTATGTGTAGAAAGTTGTGAAAGTCTTTCTCTTAAACAAGCTGAACAAACACCTGGTGATTGCCTTTGCTTTGGGTGTTTCTTGCATTTTATATCTGTTTCAGACCACCCACCCATGTCGATTTGATCTTCAACTTTGATGAACTTAGAACTCTAATGTAATTTATTTTTCTTTCTTTGTGTTCTTCCTTTAAAAGCTTGCTCTTTCTTACCTCATATTTATAGACACATATGAGTTATGAGTGTACGTAGTTACGTGTTTCCATGATATTTCATAATTTTTGTAGTCGGTTGACTGTCCACACGGGATAAGACCGATTCCGAGTCAAACCTGTTTTTGTTAAGCAAGTTGAGTTAACTCAATTTACCTTAACTCATTTTATTCAAAATACTAATTAATTAATAATATTAACTCTAATTAAATAAAAAAAAACCAAAGGTAATCACATAATCTATCAATTTAGCTTTTTAATTTTTGTTTTTCTAGCTATTCAACCTATCTACATGGCCTTCACATACAAACTTCAAATTATGGTTTTCTACAATTCTACAAATGCAATCACATTGCTTGAGGTTAGTAATGTGAGTGATAAAAAACTGGCCGCTAGAAGAACTTATCTTTCTATTGAAAGCAAATTTCAATTTAGGCAGCAAAATGATGCATATCAGCATATATATGTCAGGCTAGTTAACTCATTTTTGATTATTTGAACTAGTGAGTAGTGAGTTCAAACTCGGTTTGAGTTAATAATGTCACTTGGTAGATTTTCATAATCAATATATTCAATAGAACATGCCTGTTTGTTTCCATGATACTTCATATGAGGTTTAAGTGTCAAATAAAACAACTGGAAAACCCAAATGGGTAAGTAAAAGGCAACAATATATCATAATAATGTATTATACTATTATTTGTAGTAGATTCAAGGAAAGTGAAGTATGGACCCACTCGGTTTTGACTCACCGAGTTGAGTACGTGTGAAGTTACCGAAAACAAAAATAAAAGTGGAAGCTTTTTGTTTTTGGGCGGCGGTGCACGTGGAAAGAATTTTATTCCCCTCGAGCCATGAAATTAAAAATTCCTGCAAAGCACACGAGTGGTGCTCGTCTTGTTGTTTTCATAGAAACTTCATTAGCTTTTACTAGTATTCTAAACAGATAGAATTGTTTTCGGTGCTTATGGGTACAGCAATGTTATTCTATGTAGGAGTATGTACTTATCTTGAGAAAATAAATACATTTTTAAATGAATTCATGATCATGTGTATATGTCATCTAAACTACAGACCAAAACCAATGGGGGTTGATGAAGTAGGACAACTTTTGAACTGTTTTATTAAACACGTAATCTCATCTGTTTTTAGTTCTAATCAATATGAAATTATATATGTATAATTGTCGAGATGTTGGTATATATGAAGTAATTTTTTATCCAAGGCTAATGAAGCTTAAGAAACATGTATGTGGTAATGCGTGCTGAGAACTCTTTAATGGTGTGAAGATTTGCAAGACCAAACACTGAAACAAGTCTAGGCCATAAATTTCAGGAGAATTTAATTTGTTATACACATATGGAGTATCAACTAGCCGTATTAATTAAATGCGTTCACAACTTTTACAGATGAGGATGCACTCTCCAGAAAACCTGGATATAGGTAAAGA